ACGGTGACCGACCAGGTCTCGGACGTGGCATCGGACGAGTTGATGGTGCAGTGTATGAAATATACTTGGGCTACCAATGCTCCAGGGACACTGGGCCATCAGTTTGGCACGCTTCTGGTTCGGACGAGGAGCACTTACATCACGCGAAACAAAAAGACAGCCATGATATTGGCTTTTCTCTTCCAGGTTGTCTGGACAATGGCAATTACCTGAACGGCCTGCGCAATGATGGCCACGTCGGTGAAGATGTTCGAAACCCCCAGGTAGATAAAGTATGCTTCCTATGCTAGATTTAGCCTCTGGAGAGTCCATGTATCCGTCGGGTCCTCCTACTCGATCGTAGCAACTACCATGTAGATAGTCCCATTGGTGTGGATGACACTGGAAAGCGGATGCAAAGACGGCCGATATTGCCCAGAGAGCGATAATGATCTGCAGAGCGAGGAACACAACCCGGCTCCGAGAGGTTGGTGTCAGATGCTGGACAAAGCAGAGAAAGGCGAGCTGAGAGAAAGCGATGGCGAGAATATAAAAGAACGTAGCGACGTATTGCGACTAAGAAGCAGGTGTTATGAATTACTGACATGGACTTGCAATCCAGTACACTCAAGACATACCTTCATGATACTGTCAACGTTTGAATCACTCAACGTTGTCAAATGTCCTCCGTAGCCATTCTTGACGGCCATTGAAACGGCCACTGATTGAGCGATTGACATGAGCTACACCAGTCAGACTCTGGAACAGCGTATCTCAGCGCTTTCACCCACCAGGGCAAGGAGTATGTAGTAGTCATCCAGGAAGAGACTGCCAAATTTCCACCATTTTGTCCCAAGTCTTGCCAGCGAGCCCAGGACGGACGTCACCATCAAGAACAAAGTCAAGACGATGACCGCTGGCGCCTCACTATCCGGGGAATACCTGGTCATGATGGCGAGGTGACCAGCAGGCTGAATAGGAGATCATGAACATGAACCTAGGACATGACGAAGAGCAAATCCGCCCAAAAGACCCGGAATAAAGTCACACTTGAACGTGAGACTGAATTAAAGGAGTGCAGGGCGTGTATAAGACCGAGTCCATGGCCAGGGGAACTCGTGCAACCCCCCACCCCCCCCGGCAGAAGGATTCTCTCGGTTGCATCTACCGAACAGGGGCAGCCAGCCATTTTCGATTGCTATCGGCGGCACGAAAGGAATCATCATTCTCTGTGGGCGGGATTCGATTCACTTTACGGGCTATGGTTCGGCTGGCGTGTGCTGACTGGTAGCTCCTGTGCGTATGGAATTGTGATGGATCCTTTGCCGGGCATCCATTTGTCCTGAGAGTGTCTCGATTGTGTCTCGAGCAAATGACTAACGTTGTGGGTTGACATTTACTAGAAAGTCGGACTCGGTTATTGATTGCCTGACCAGAGTTGCTCATGGACGTGCAATAAACGAAGTGGATTATGCATCAGTGGTTTGATCCTTCAGCCAAAATTGGTCTAGCAGAGTGATAGAAGGGACGAATAAACGAAGAGATATCGACTGAGGATATCAAGTAAACAATATTGATTAACATAACTGCGCCAGTCGGATGTGAAGGAGACTACGCCACTGGATTCCTGATGTTGGCGAGGAATCGCAATCAATTAGCCAATGATGATCTAGTCTGCCTATATCCTGGACAAGGTTACACCACCAGAATAAGGCCAAGGCCTGTGCCGTGTTGTTTCTGAGACACACATTGATCCTGGCGTCCCGCTAAAACTGGGGCGGGCTGGATCGGATCAACAGGCTTCTCTTCCGGATCCACGTCTAATGATCTAGCCGTCTCTAAGGAAGTTATGTCTGTGATTGTATTCATTCCCCGTAGATAAACATAAAACAGACTGTGGATTCGTGGAATCGTGATTAAGCTGCCGAGGATCAGCGGGGAGTGGGCTCACCACACAAACACCTTTGATCGCCATGGACCAGCACATCGTCCTCCGCAGGAATTTTGTGTAGCTATGGGCAGTCTTCGCTCTTAGTCCGGAATAATGGACTTTCGGACCTTCTTGTCTCGGAGTTATCCAATTACCAAGAAACAGGCATAAATATGCAGACTCCTGTCCATCCATGTCTGGATGCCACCGCTAAAGACGCCCCTAGCAAGGATACAATGCCACTTGAGCAGTTAGCATTGGCAGTGATATTGTCCGCAGGAAATGGTTAGATTGTTTTTAATTTATTAGCACAAGTCTAACTCCAATTGAGACGTTCCTCCGATTCCTTTCGGTGTCCATGGACTGTATCTATCATCACCATCCCTGCGGCGCCAAGCAGTGGCGTATCAAAACATGTGCAGGGAAGTGACAAATGAATGCAACGATACGCAGACACGTTGTGCATCATTAATTCTCTCAGTCGGAAGTCAGAAATCCCCGAGAGGGGATGTCGCTCAGGGGTTACAATTGTACAGGGGGGAGTACATACGGATTACCTCCCACGAGGTTTCTGAAGCAGATCGGCTGGTGCCGACGAGGCGCCTTCCTTTCCATCCTCGGTAACTACCGCCTACGTTGCATTGTTTCATTCTTGTTTCTGTTCTGGGAACTGGCAAGCCGCTAGATTTTAGCCGAGTTGTATGGTGGACGCAGTGCCTTCGACTGGACTTGACCCGGCAATGCATTAGTGAATAACATCCATGCTGTTCAATAATTCACGACTCTACGACCTTCTCAAAACAGATAGAATCACATTCGTTACTTTGTCTACCAAGTACTAGCCGAAGTGGCCAAGTCAAGGTCCCTGAACGGCCAGACCGGACTCTGAGGTTTCATTCCCCCACCCTCTCCTTTCTTATATTGTCCATCGTCTGGAGAACCTAGGTGTCGCATCCTCATATACGAAATTCTCTATCATCTCAAGCTCCTCCTGAGAGTCGGACAATCTCCTGTGAAATGTTGACGCACGAGATGAAGACGCTAGAGCCGTCGAGTCCTCAAGAGCTCGGCGGCTCACTCGCGAGCAAAGACCTGGATGAAGTCCACTTGGCTCGTCTGGGGAAAAGACCCGTTTTGAAGGTGAGGTGATCTGATTCTCGATCGATCGCATAAGATTTGTGACTCGTCACTGACGCGCAACCGTTGCAGCGCAATTTTGGAATGCTTTCCATGCTTGGCTTCAGCTGTACGATTCTAGTGACCTGGGAAGGATTCACAGTGTATGCGTCCATCTGATAAGAATTTCCGACAGATCTTGCTAATACACGCTTGACAGACTGTTCCTCCAGCCCCTAACCAAGTACGCCCCCCCTGTCGATCTAATCGCATTCAACACTGACAATCAACGGCAGTGGTGGTCCAGCTGGAGCTGTTTATGGTTTCCTCTTTGTTTGGGCAGGTACCGCCTGCGTCTTTGTCGTCCTCTCTGAATTAGCATCCATGTATGTCTTTCCGATGTTGTATCTCATATTGAACGTGATTGCTGACGACCACTTAGGGCTCCGACATCCGGTGGACAGTACCATTGGATCTCCATGTTGGCGCCGCGATCGAGTGTGAAATTCCTCAGTTACATGTCTGGGTGGCTCACCGTCATCGGATGGCAGGCCACCTTTGCCACAGCGTGCTACCTCAACGGTACTATGGTCCAGGGTGTCGCCATCCTCACGCGTCCCAACTACATACCCAAATCATGGCATCCTACCTTGTTCTTCTGGGCCATCGTCGCCTTCGCCGTCAGTATTAACGTGGTCGGTCGCAGTGTCCTTCCCAAGTTTGAGGGACTTATCCTTGTGGTCCACATTCTCGGCTTCTTCGCCATCCTCATCCCGCTCGTCTCGTTGGCCGACATTGGCTCCGCCAAGGACGTCTTCACTCAGTTTGTCAATGAAGGTGGCTGGTCGACCCAGGGACTGTCGTTCTTTGTGGGCTTGATCGGCTCGGTGTTTGCCTTTGTGGGAGGTGATGCCGCAGTTCACGTAAGTCAACCACACCTCTCCCACCAAAAGCCAGCGCCTCATCCCCATATCTGCAGATGTCGGAGGAAATCCACAATGCTCCCGTGGTGGTCCCTCGCTCTATCCTCCTCAGCGTGCTGATCAACGGTTTATTGGGATTTGGCATGCTCCTTGCTCTTCTCTTCTGCTTGGGGGACATCAATGAGGCCCTCAAATCTCCCACGGGATACCCTTTCATGCACATCTTCTATAAGGGAACCGGCTCCATCGGAGGTGCGGCCGCCATGGCCTCCATCGTCATTGTCGTCTGTATCTGTTCGGCCACCGGCATGATGGCTGCGACTTCTCGCCAGTTCTGGTCATTCTCGCGCGATCGCGGTGTTCCCGGTTGGAGATTATGGAGTCGGGTGCGTTCTCCTTCTTTGTAAAGCCGTCATTCGCGCTAATATGCTCACCTAGGTCTCTCCCACTACCGCTATTCCGGTATGGTCTGTCGTAGTCACCACCGTTGTATCGGCCCTGTTGGCCCTGATCCCCATTGGATCCGCCGTCGCCTTCAATGACCTCTGCGCCATGTCGATTACCGGCCTCTTCCTCTCCTACATCATGGTCGCCGTCCTTCTCCTCTGGCGACGTGTGACTGGTGCCATCTCGCTGACTGCTGGCGCTGACGAGACCGTTAACACAATTGGAGCCAGGCTGGTCTGGGGTCCCTTCCGCGTTCCTGGTATCTGGGGAGTGATGATCAATGTCTTTGCTATTATCTACTCGCTCATCGCCATCTTCTTCAGCATGTGGCCCACATTCAGCAACGTCACGGTGGAGACAATGAACTTCAGCTCGGTAGGTACCGCCAGTGTCATTGTCCTGAGCGTTGTCTACTATGTCCTCCGCGCCCGTCATGTTTATCAAGGGCCAATTGTTGAGACTGTGCCTCGGTAGACAGTTCGGGATGGGGTTATTAAAAGCAATGCGTTTGTTCCGTTGTGATTCTGTACAAACTTGAAAAGCTATATAACTCAACGGAGGCGCATCTATAATATTTACTTTACCCGTTTCAATTCTTGTACCTCCTAGACCTGTTCTGTCTCATCACACCGTGCCAATGGCGTCTCTCCCTCGACATATTTGCCTAAAACAGGGCGCCACATCACCGTCTCATTGATGGGTAAGAAAGTCTCCTCGCACTGTGTCCATTCCTTTTGTTCCTCGTCGGAGAACTGGCGCATTGGAACCGGCTTTACGCGATTGAAGACGACCTCGCGAAAACCATACTTCTTGTAAAGGGGCGCTCCAAACTCTGAGGCGTCCAGCCAAGCTTCCAAGCCCTGCGCATCTGCCTTTTCCACGCCCCATCTCATGAACAGATGGCTCAGTCCCTTTCCGCGATACTCGGGGAGGACGAATGCGATGTGTAGAACTGTAAGGATCTCATTAGCCTCTCCATATACATGGTTTCGATGGCAAACTTACAAGCATGCGGTCGTCGGGCCATGCTCTCCCGCGGATGCTCAAACTGCCTGACTGCTTGCGTCGCCCACTCCCTCGTCACTCCCTCGGGGAACCAGTCCGCCACCATCGGGCCCTCCTTTTTCGCGAAAGGGTCCTCCGGGTACAAGTACCACTTGGCCGCGGCGGCGATCTTGTTGGCTTCTGTATCCACAACTTTGATCCAGGTTACATGTGGCTGTTCCTTATGATACTCTTCCAATTGAGCCTGGACGCATTCCTTTAGACTGCCCTCGCGATCATTGTTGTGGATGGGGAAGAATAAGCGGACAATGCCCTGGTAGGGATTCTCAAAGGCTTCCCAGAGCGCCCGGTACAGCTCGGGGAAGTCATCGTCGCTGACGATCTCTACGCGGTATTTAGGCTGCATGGTGATGTGGCTATGAATATACAGTAAGAAGTTTCAAGGGTAAGAGATGTAAAGTCACGCAATCGGCTTATGTATGGCTTCAGGTTACATCGGCCAGCAAATTATTGTCTGTCACGCCATACCGTAATAGTCTATCTACACTATTATGCTATAAATTCTGTTTTACTCCGACTCATGTCAAGTCGAGCATGTGGCATACGTGGTCATTTAATATACCCTGGTCTAGTCAGAACGCCACAAAGACATGGGTATATGCATACCAACAGATGATTGGTTTAACTAATGCGCATGTCTTAAAGGAGGAAATGAGTTATATCAACATCCCACAGTGAAATTAAATCCATTCAGCGATTTTAAGCTGGTCAGCTGTGGGGGAGGAATGGCCAGTGCTGCGACTGCAGCTTGCTTTGCGGAGCTGGCGTCTTAAAGCACCATCCAGTCCTGTAGGACCGACTGTTTGAAGTCAACTGTTGTATCATATTGAAATTTGAAGATCTCAATCTGATTGACACACAAAAGTCTAATCCGTGTGGGAAATGCTTGTATGCATCTTCATCTTTCGACAACCAGCGGGAGCCCATAAACAGTCATAGCTGATGCTGATGGTTGCTCGACTTCTACCAAGCCATCCTGGCCAAAATACCATGTGGCCATCTCCTCACAGCGGCTTTACGCAGCTCGTCCAAACCAAGGATTCCCAGACCAAAGGCGGCCGGCAGGAAGTAGTGCTCGGCCGGAACACTGGTCGTGTCCAGCACCCGTTGTAAGGGCGGAATGTACAGCCAGAATACAGCAATCCCCAAGGCAAAGATAATGGCCGGAAACAAGAGCAAGTTTTGGGTTTTCTTATTAAAGGCGGGTGGGTGCGAGAAGATGGACAACCGGCGGGTTCGGATGGCCATCAGGTTGAACCATTGCCTGTGACCGTTAGCCTTTCTGGTCTCGTAAACGTGCTACGGGTGCAGCATACATTACAACCAAGTTGATAAAATATACTGAACTGGCCTCGTTCAGCCGCGCAGTGTACCAGTCAGGATCGACGTTGGCTGGGACCTCGCCGAACTTGAACCACAGCGCGGAAAATGGAATGCCATTACGCTGCAGGTACCAGTAGGCCATGGCAAACGATGCCAGAGTCTCCAGCATGCCGATGACTCCATATGCCTGAAGGATGAGTTTCCAGTTTACCAGCCGTTCCTTCTTGGGTTTACGGGGCGGGCGAAGCAGCACGTCCGCTTCGGGAGCTTCGTATGCCAGAACAGTGGCCGCCGCGCAGTCGGTAAAGCAGCTGTATCGGTTAGCCAGAGATGTTCATAACGAGAGGAACGCGTCGGAAATACCAGATGATGATCATCAGAAAAGAGGACAAGACCTGCGGAAGGCCAAAAACCACACTGGTCAGGACCGGCCAAAACTCGGACCAGGAGCCAGCTGGAAGCAGGTAGATGATTGTCTTTTTCAAGTTATCGAAAACAACTCTTCCATATTGCACGGCCTCGACAATAGCCGAGAAAGAATCCAGGAGAACCATATCAGACGCCTCGATGGCAATATCCGAGCCGCTTCCCAGCGCAATGCCGATATCAGCCGCCTTGAGCGACGGGGCATCGTTCACGCCGTCTCCTGTCATTCCTACAATCTCGTCCCGCGCTTGGAACTCGCGAACAATCCGCAATTTCTGCTCCGGGGTGGTTCTCCAGAAGACGATTTCCTTGTACTGGCACAGCTGATCCCATTGATGTTCGTTCAGAGCCATTAGTTCACTCCCGCTGAGAGAGATTGCAGCCGAGCGGGTCTTCTCGTTGTATTTGTCATTGACTGAAGGAAATCGTCTTAGGCCTGTTGCATCGTCAACAGGCACTCCCGCGGTAACGATACCGCACTGCCGCGCAATCTCAAGAGCTGTCAGGCCGAAGTCGCCCGTTACCTTTGCACCATCCACTTTAGCCAATCGCCAGATTTATAAGATAATGGGGTAGAGACAACTCCTACCATGAAGATCCTGATCCCTGCCCGCCTCAGTGTTCTGATCACGTCCGGAATCTCGTCTCGAGGAGGGTCAACAATACCGACCAGGCCCACTAAGACAAGACCGCTCTTGATCTGGTTCATCACTTCGGTTTCGAAGAAGTGGGAGAAGGGTGAACTCTGTATTTGGCCCGCTGAGAAGGTCTTCCTGGCCAGGAGGATTACGCGTTTGCCTTCACTTGACCACTGATCTTTAATCTGCTTCAAGCGGTTGAGCGTACCGGGGTTCAGAGCCTGCACACTGCCATCAACACTCACGACATGCGTGCAGCGGTCGATGAGGATGTCCGGGGCGCCCTTAATGGTAAGCAATCTATAATTGCATAAGTGGTCAGAATGGCTCACAAAACAGAATCGAGGAAGATCGAATACTCACGTATCATCATGACCAAATTGGGCCGACTCAGAGGGCGACATGGCGTGGCCGAGTCCTGCCCTGTCCACCAGACTGTATGTCCGCACCATGAACTTGTTCTTGCTGTTGAAGGCAAGGTCATATGTCTTCTTCCACATGCTACGCAGCTCGGATACGGGGCCCAATCCTTCGGAGAATCGTAGAATCGCCTGATCGGTGGCATCGCCGATGACCTTTCTCTCGTGGACGGGCAGATTCATGGTGGCCGCGTCAAACTCGGCAGCGTTGCAGAGGCCAGCAACTGCTCGAAGTTGATGGATCGCCGATGCCTTTCCTTTGAGGACCATTTCGTCTCTTGCTCCATCCGAGGTGAACGTGGAGATAGACACCGCGCAGTCAGTGACGAACATTCTGTTCTGCATGACGGTCAGCGGAAGATCCGAGAATAGGATCGGAGTGCTTTGATGGGCTAGATTGCGTACTTACCTTGGTCAAAGTACCGGTCTTGTCGGAACAGATCACTGATACCGAGCCAAGGGTCTCAACCGTCTTGAGCGACTTGCAGAGAATCTTGTTCTTGCTCATCAGATTGGCAGTAATGGTCAAGTTGGCAGTCAGAGCGATCGGCAAGCCTTCAGGGATAAACGCGATGGCGACGCTGACGCAGTCCACTATTAACGTTGGAACGTTGATCCAGTTCGGGTGATCTCGTCGCAGCCAGGTAGCCCTATTGACCAGTCAACGATCAGTGCGTCTTGGCCGTGATGGTCTGTTATTGTTACCAGACAATAATGATGACAATAATCATGGTCAGCATGATCAACACGATGAGAGCGACAAAACGTAAGACTTCCTTCTCCAAGGTGGTCAAGCCCTTCTTTGGCTCACTGGTGAGCTTTGCGATTCGACCAAACACCGTTGCGTCTCCTGTTGACACGACAATGCCCGTAACACTTCCCGAGACACAATGCGTGCCTTGAAGACCGGCGTTATGAGTCTCGAGGTAGTTCTCATCTGTCGAGTCCACCGTCCCGTTGATGGGAAGCGATTCGCCTGCTGGTCGTAAGCAACACACCTGAGGCACGCATGACCTGACGATACTAACCGGTAAGAATCGATCGGTCGAAGCAGGCATCGTTCGAAACCTCGACGAAACGGATATCTGCTGGGAGTTTATTGCCCGCCTTGAGATGCACAATATCACCCGGCACAATATCCGGAGCTGATACGACGACGAGTGAACCACCACGCATGACCAGACAACTTTCTGGCAGCATGGCCGTAATGGATGCCATGACTCGAGATGAGGACCAGTCTTGCCATGCGTTGAAGGCTGCCTGGATGAAAAAGACGGCGAGGAGCACGATTGCTAGGGCAAGATTTGCCAGAGCTGGTGGTTGGCCGAGGGGTTTCCAGGAAATAAACACGAGAATACATCCGACCAGCAGAATGGCACCAAATCCCTTGAAGAAGTAGCCGAATACCTGCCAGAACCATTGATGTGGCAACGGCGACAGCGCATTTTTGCCATACTGATGGAGCCGTTCCTGAACCTGATTCGGGGAGAGACCCTGAGAGATGTCCACTTGCCATCGTTTCTGTAGCTCTTCGACGGAGATTGTATGCCAGTCGAGATGGGAAAGATCTGGGATTTATTCACATTAGTATAGTGCGCCTCCTGCAGTGGCAAGCAGCTTTGATTGTGTCCATACCTGCTGCGACACCACTTTGTGCTTTTGCTTTTTCACGCTCTTCCCGTTCCTTGGCTTCGTCAATATCGAATGAGCTGTTTCATCCGCATTAGATCGTCTCATTCCTCAGGTATTGCAGCAAGGGAGGTTGTAGGTACATGGTTCGATAGTGGATTGGCAACGACAATGAAGGGTCGACAATCGTTCTCCTATGACGACTGTGGACAGAGACATGCGCGCTGGACGCAGCCGAAGCAGTCCGGATCAGCTCAGGACGGCTGCTCCTTGTCTGATTGCCCGACTCTTCGTCTTCAGCCCGCCATCGCAGACGCGTAACTTCCTCGTCCGCAGACTTGTGTTCAGTCGGGTCCATTTCTTGTCCAAAACGATCTCCTCTGGACAAGTTGCGGCAAGAGAAGGAAACCAAGGATTGTGATATAGGTCCTCCAGAGTCGAATGAGCATTCCGTTCTCTTTATAGCTTGCAGGCTGGATTATAGACCATGTGGTAATATGTGCATCTGTCCATGAGGAGTATAGCTGCGAGACATCTCGTGGCATAGAAAGCTGCGCGATTAATGATGGCCATAGCTCTTTAGCCGAGTAGCTGTATCGGCGGTGGCTGAGATATCAGTCCGAGCTTTTTGAGACGTCAATAAATCGCTCTTCGTGATGTGCAAGGAAATTCCCAACCAATCGTTAAGCTGCAACATGGCCTTATATGCAACCTTGTTTTTCTTTTTGGTGGAAGATGCGAGATTATTGATCGAGTAGCCCATGCTTGAGGCTTTTACTACCAACCAGATTGCTCGAGTTCCGCCCCCACCGAAAAGACCTTTCTGTCTATGCGCGATATAGGTTACACTCTGTCTCGAGGGCATATGTTGTGTCAAGCTATTACCTATCTGCTAGAATTTATCTCCTAGA